TGTATGCAGACCTTTGAAGGGCGAGTCACCAGTTTCACGTTTATGATGGCTCAGCAAATGAAGGCGCTTGCCTCCAAGTCTGGTGGTCTAACTTTGATCCTAGACACACATACTGGAAGAAGAGAACCGACTCGCACAAACTGTCCTCTGAATATCATGTGTGTGCTTTGTTGTGTACCTCTGTACACACATCCACACAAACACACAATTTATTTATTATTATTATTATGAAAATACAAATGAGTTTATCTGCACATTTAAGGATTTGAAGAATATATCCACTGAACAGGTGGGTATTAGAGGAGCCAGAGGGTAGTAGACATGGAGGGAGGTGCAGGGCCATCTTCATTTATTTAGTAAGTTGTAGCAATTTTGTAGGCAAGGAATGGTTTTGAACACTCTAGAAGCCAAGATTGAATTTCAGGAAAGCCAGATTCCAACTCAACTGAACTTTTTACCAACTGGAGTCATCGAAAAGCAAAATGGTTTTCTTATGCCAGGGCTGGCTGCCCACCGTAGGACTTATTCCGCCAAGGCCATTTCTTGGCAGGGAAAGGGGAGCAAGGGGACTCCTAGAGAGCAGAAGTTTGAGCCAATCTAAGACATTTCTAGAATCCTTAAGACCTAATATCCCCAGTTGTTACAGGTACATTGAGCTACCGAGTGTTACACACGGTGCCTGTACAATGTACTTCCTCCTGCAGAGCTGATGCAGCCATTTCTCGGGTTGCTGAGGAACCATGTCTGATGAAGCTATGCCCACACGCAAGGGTCATAAAGTTAAGTTTCCCTGGCAGAGATGGGACTCAGGCTTCCATAACTGTTAACCGGTCCCCTGAAAGGCGTTTGCATGGTTATCATCAGGTAAGGCTCCGGCAGAGGCTGCTCGATGCACCCTCCCCCCTGCTTTCTTCTGTGGGAAAGCCCCTCTGCACAGCCCCTTCCCTACCAGCTGTTGATGAAAAAAAAAAAAATAAGACATGAAGGCAGAGCCCATGTCAGCAACCCTGGGTTTAGCCCAGTGTGGCCTAAGATGAGGTACGGGGAGAAGAGGCCTTGGTTCATCTTTTTTGCCCTTTTCTCAAAGGGGAATGTAGAACCCAGACCTTGCTCCTCGGTTCTCCATGTGGGACCTGACTGTTCTGGGCCACTTGGATGATGTCAGTGATCAGGATGGTAGCGTGATGGTAGAGCTGGTGCCGGCTGTAGCCCGTGCTGAGGAGCTCTTACTATGTACTCTGTGCTCATCTTGTTATGTGGAACAAGTCAATGGGTCCTCAGTATTCTACTCAGTGACTGGAGTCTGAATGAGGAAGCCCAGGCCTGAGGCAGTTAAAGGGCATTGTTGAAGGGGTAGCCTGCAGGTCCCAAAGCATCAGCTAGCCATTCCACCGTAGAGAAATGTTAACTCCAAGGACCACCAAGATGGTTCATGGGATGAGTTCATTTGCCATGAGCGCCTGGTGACCTGAATTGGATGCCAGAAACACAAGTGATGGTGGAAGGACAGGACCTGCTCTCCAGGATTGCCCTCTGACCTCCACACCTGCACTGTGACACTCACACACATGAACATACACACACACATACACACACACACACGAGTAACAATAAATCATTTTGTGTGTGTGTGTTTTGTTTTTTAAGACAGGACTTCTCTCTGTAGCTTTGGAATCTGTCCTGGAACTCGCTCTATAGACCAGGCTAGCCTTGAACTCACAGAGATCCACCTGCCTCTGCCTCCCAAGTGCCAGGATTAAAGGCATCTGTGCCACTATCACCCAGTATAAATAAAATAATTTTTAAAGAAATAAGAACTCAGAAAAAAAAAGTGGCTTTGTCCTCCTGGCCTTTGTTTTAGGTCCCCTCACCAGCCTGAGGAGGTGTGGGCACACCAGCTCTGTTCCAAGTCCTTCTTTACATTACTGTCCTTGACCCTTTATGATGAGGAAAGGAGGCAGGTGCTACAGTGTGCATTTTGCAGAGACACCCAGGGACTTGCTCAATGTGACCTGGTACCCAGGCTGACTGCATCTGCAGTCTGTGCCCCTCGCTGAGGGAATAACACTGAATACCCTTCACAGACACTAAATCTGTATTTCCTGGCCTCCCCTTCCAAAATGGATACAGTAATTGCAGACTTTTTTTTAATAGTAATCATCAAGAACACATTTCTTTAATGTTTGCGTTTTCTATTCTGCATAATGCCAAAATAAAACATTGATCAAATCCACAAGCTCAAACCCAGTATGGCCATGTAAATTAGGAAGGGTTAGGAAGGCATTACACTAAACGGAAAGAAAAAAGTGTTGATTAGGGACTTATTTTTGTATGAGATTAAAATGTGAATCGTTAAAATAGGACTATATTTTGGGTTCTGCGGTCCCTTCTCGTCGGAGCCACCGCAGTGGCTCCTGGTTTGGAGCACTGAAAACCTTCGCAGCTCTTCAGAGTTTCAACCTGGTACCCAGTACAGGTTCTGCTTTGCTACATCATTTCCAAAATGTGGGCAAAGCTCCTCTGTGTCCACCTGCCTGTCCTCTCCTAAGAAAATCCCCTTGAGACTGGGGTCTCCGGCTTTATTGATTCCTAATTGAAAATGGCAGCAGTGAACTGCCCCACCAGTAACCGAAATCCAAAGATGGGGGGTGGAATGAGTAGCAGCAAGCTAGGGGTGTGGGGGTGGGTACCTGGGAAAGGGCAACCACCTATAGAACTTGATTTGGTACGGGGGTGGGGGGAGGCAGTAGATAGCTCTGGAGGGAAAACCCACTCATGGAGTGTTTCTGCATTCATGCTCACTTTGGAAGAAAAAATAGCAATATCTGTAGCCCAAAATACACAGTTAAGTTAAGTTGTTAATTAAAACGTCTTTAAAAATGGCTAAGATCAGAGACAAAGGCCCATTGTTTGGTACAATTATTGACTGCATATCTCTATTAGGAAGAGTGTGGGGAGGACAGTACAGCCTGTGGTGTTTTTTAAAAATTAATCACCCATCCTTATAGAGTTTCCCCTGCATTGTGAACTTGGATCAAAGCCAGAGAGGGGTGGAACCAGTTTGTGGTAGGGTGTGTGTGTGTGTGTGTGTGTGTGTGTGTGTGTGTGTAAAATGATCTACTCAGTACACACTTCAATATCAAGTTACAACACCCACCATTCCTTCCCTCCGAGCACTGACATGTTGAGATCATTTCGTGGAGCTTGTAGGACCCTGGGGTGATGCCTAGACTTAGTTTTAAAGAAAGGGCAACCCCATACTGCCCTAGTTCCTTATAGAGAGTGGCCACTTCAGACCAACACTAATGAAATTTGTTATTTTTTAACACCTCCAAACCCAGCCTGGGCTCTGAGCAAGTTAGAAAGATGTATTCTCCCCAACAGTTGTCGTTCTTGTTGTTGTCGTCGTTGTTGTATGAGATAGGATCTTACTCTGTAGCCCAGGCTGGCTTCAAATTTTTCCTCTTCAGCCTCCTACCACGCCATCTAGCTGACAGGTAAAATTGTTATCAAGAATCTGTGAGGTAAAAATTCTATGAAGAATCCGTGAGTTGTTTTGCACATTTAAAATGTAACTACCAAAGGATGTCATTTTCTTTAAATAATTCTGAAGTGCAAGCAGAGAGAGATATTAAAAGAGTATTTTCACAAAAATAGGAAGACATTGGGACAGCGTAAATCTCCCCCAACTCTGGGATCATCCTCTGATGGGCTCTCTAATATCAAACAGCAGATCACTCTGGTATCATTTCAGCAGCTTAAAGCATCGGTACCGTGGGGACATCTTCAAAACCGAATGTAGTTGTGGACCCTTTGCTCGTACCGAGCTATTTCCATGAGTCCCCCTCTGGAGGATCTATAGTGTTAGCCCATCTGTTGTTTAGATGGTTTTTTATTTAGACTGGGTATGTTTGACATTAAACAATTTATATTGTTTAGAAGGGAGTCGGCAAGGAAGGTGGCCCATTGGGTGGAGTATATGTCACAAAAGCATGACAGCTCGCTTGAGTTTGATTCTAGGACCCACATAAAGTAGAAGGAAAAGCCAGCTGCACAAAGTTGACCTCTGCCCCCCCCACACACACACATACATCATTTTACCTTAGGTGTATTGAATGTTTTGCCTGAGTGTATATGTGTATGTGTATACTACATCTTTGCCTAGTGCCCACAGAGGTCAAAAGAGGGTGCCAGATACCTGAAACTGGAGTTATAGATGGTTGTGAACCACATAGGTGCTGGGAACTGAACCCTGGATCTCTAAAAGAGCAACAAGTGCTCTTAACCACTGATCCATCTTTCAAGTCCCAAAACTTTTTTTAGTATATTACTCTTCTTTTACTTGTTGTTTTTGCTATTGTTGTTTGAGACAGGGTCTCAGGTAGCCCAGGCTATCCTCAGGATGATCTGGAACTTCTGCTGCTCCTGCCTCTACCTCCCAAGTGCTGAGATCACAGGTGTGCACCACTATGACCTGCTCTTATTTTTAGCATGTAAAAACAACTTTGTTGGGAGCTGATGATTCTCCAAGAGCTATAGAAAGTATATAATTTGATCAATTTGGAGATAACTATAGATCCATGAGATCATCACTGTAGTAAATGTAATGTCCATATCCACCACCTCAAAATTTTCTCTTGTCATCTTTATTAGTATGGATGTAGTTACGAAAACGTTTTCCTCAGCACCTACCCACTTAGCAAACTGTAAGTGTATCATATAGCATCACTTACTTGACAGCACCCTCCTCTGGCCCTCAGGTACCCACGTGCACATGGCACAGACACATATACATAAATCAAACGTAACCTAAATCATATAATAGTAACTTTTAAAAGCCACACGGCCCTGACATGTTGAGTCGGATGTTGTGCCCGTCCGTGTCTGCTCTGTGAGTTAACATCCGTTCCTTACCCCTGCAACTGTCACAGCTCCGCGGCTCCTTCGGTAGCTGTTAACTAAAGCCTCCCATTTCTATCTCTTGTTCCCTCCCGCTCCAGGCGATGTGCTCTATGAGCTCCTCCAGCACATTCTGAAGCAGAGGAAACCTCGCATTCTCTTCTCACCTTTCTTCCACCCTGGGAACTCTATCCACACGAAGCCGGAGGTCCTGCTGCATCAGAACCATGAAGAAGGTACTGGAAGACGCTTCTCTTTGCTTGCCTGTGGTTTAGACAAACTAAGGGGTTGCGTGGTTAACTGCTAAGCTGTTCTTATTGCTGTGAGTTCATTCTTCTTTCAGGAAACATGGGTTGAGTGCCTACCGTGTGCATACACCTACCGTGTTCATACACGGGAGGAGTCGCCTGGATTAGTAAGGCATAACACATTGGCTGTCTGGAGTTCACAGTCAGCAGTGTGAACACAGATTACAGTAACATACACAGGGGTGTAGAGTGAGGGAAGATGACGCCCAGGTACAGGAAGCAGGTTCACCTTTATCAAAGGAGGAGACTAGAGGAGTCCTTGAATGCTCTGATAGACAGCAAGAATATTCAGTTAGGTAGGGGTAAGGCCTTGGAATAGAGAGAGAAAAATAGAGAGCTTGATTGGTGGGCCCATTCATCATGAAAATGTTCAAATATATATAATCCATATAGGATAAGATAATAAGATAAATAAAGCCATGTGAGCCATCTATCACCCTGCTTCAGCAATGATGAACATTTCTACCAGAGAACTAACTAATCCAAGGAAGTTAGCCCGGAACCAGAGTGTGGAGAATTGAGATTCTGTGGGTATAGAGAGAAGTAACAGCAAGGTATATGCTTGAGCTGTACTCATAAAAGCTGAGGGAAGGACGAAAACCAACCTAGGGGAAGTTGGCGTTGGGTAGGGGCTTTCTCCATCATGGAGCAGAGACCGTTGGCTGGGGTGAGCTCAATATCAAGACTCCTGTCGTAGCTGCTGTTCCTTGTGGGAACCATGGAGTGTGTGGTCTGGGCAAGCGAGTGTTGGGTGCAGGCCTATAAAATGTGATTTTGTGCTCAATGTGATGGCATTTGAGCAGAAAGAATCACATCTCCCAGGGCCATTAGATCCTCCCTCCCTCCCTTCCTCCCTCCCTCCCTCCCTCCCTCCCTCCCTCCCTCCCTCCCTCCCTTTCTCCCTCCCTTCCTCCCTCTGGAACAGGCAGCCAGTATGCAGATGTGTGAACACCACAGTGTGGGACTTTTCCACATGCATTTTTTTAAGCCAATTTCAGGGTCCCATTCCTCGGGAAGTTTTGTTGACTAGTGAATCATTCCCAAACACAGGACCGCTACTTTTCTTTTGCGGTCAGACAGTTAAAAACTTGGGCTTGGTATTCTCTTAATTAGCACTTGTGACAAAAAAAGAGCCTGACTCCAGGTTTGGGGGGGGGGGGTCTCTCAGCAGGTCCTCTCCAGCAGGAGGTAGAGAATAGGCCCTGTTTCTGGCAGGTTCCCACCCACTCTCAGCCTCTCCTCTCCTCCAGTAACCAGGCTAAATTTAGCAACTATCCCTTCCCCTCAATTCGGGTTTGATGTTCCCCTGCTCTTCTGGCCTTTCTCAATTCCGGCTTGCATAATAGCCAAAAGCCATTCCAGGGAAGAGGAGGTGGGCTCACTGAAGCTTTCAGTAAGGCGGGCATAGTGTTATCAGCCCGGCTCTTCAGATACACAGGGTACGGGTTGGGTTCCCCCTCCTTCTTTCACTTACTATTGAAAAACATTTATTTTCGTTTGGAATTTTCTTCCCAAATGTGGTTGAAGGCATGTGGCTCCTTCCTACTTGGTATGATTTTACTTGGAAGTAGGTGGGGAGGGGGCAGGGGGAGTGTTGTTCTTCTGTGCAGGGGCTAGTCCTTCCTAGACAAAGCTGGCCAACTCTGAGAGCTACCCGCAAGCCAAGGAAACGTAGGTGTGTCCCATCACGCACCCAAATGATCTGTGCTTGCATGCACTGTGAGGTCAATGGGGAACTCAGCCACTAAGAGAACAGAGCCCACGGTCAAGGGCTTCGTAGCCCTGCAGATCAGGTGGATACACTTTCGCATCAGCCCTTAAAAGTACCAAGGGCATCCACAGCATTCCCTGATGCTAGCAGTCAGGAAGAAAGATCTGAGGACCTCTTCGCTCCCCCTTTGTCTGTTCAGACACCGTGCCAATCTCAGATGAACAGGGGACCCCATCTCCCAGGTAGTGCCAACAGAAAAACCATTCGAGACCCAGGGGTGAAAGGAAGAATCTACCTCCAGTTTTATACTTTAAAAATGGTGGCTTGCCTTCCCACCTCCAGCCCCTTTCAGTCCTTCCAAAAAATAAAAAAAAAAAAAAAGTCAAGTTCAGCATTCAGCATGCAGTGTCTCAAGTAATACATTGGGAAGGCACCGGGTCAGCGAATGGCAGGTGAGGCTATAGCAGACTATGGGGAGAGCTGGCCCAAAATAATTTCTGTAAGATGATATTACACATACCAAATTTTATACAGAGTGAAGGATACCCAAAACTATGTTGGCCCAAGACTATTTATGTTTTCTGCTGACGTGGCTCGAGCATGTGTTTGTGGGTAAAAGCTGAGTACTCCTTAACAACATTTTTTGGGATCAGAAGTGGTTTGCATTTCAGGTTTTATGATATCTACATAAATATATGCTATCTCAGGATGGGACCCAAGGTTATCTCTGAAATTCGTTTATTTTGTGTATACCTTATATACATGGTATAAAGATGATTTTTATAGTTTTAATTTTCTACAAATGACTAATGTGCCTATGTTTTGAATGTGACCCACCAGCCAAGGTCAAGTGTGGTATTTGACACATGTGACATCATGTGGACACTTGGGGTCTCAGACCTGAGAGCATTTCAGAGCTTAGATCTTGGGGTAGAGATGATCTGTGTGTATATGAATGGCAGGTGAGAAAGAGGCCAGGCACTGAGTATCTGTCAGCCAGACCCTCTGTGAGGCTGAGCATCCTGTTACAGAGACACAGACACAAGGCTGCATCTATCTACCCCGTGACCTCACTTCACCCCAGCACCAGCTCAGCCGCTTCAGATGCTGGTCATTTCACAATGGGAATTGATATCGCAGAACAAATGTGTCCCGTTTGGTTTATTGATGGCTTCCCCACAAACATCCCTGTGGGTCCTGTACATTGAAGCCTCACCTTCCTCTCTAGCAACTGTATGGCAGTGCCAGCTGTGGGGAGCCTGGGATTGGTGCAGGGCTTCCTGTCCTCGATAGGATGGTGACCTCACAGATGCAAACAGTCTCCACAGCATACCTTCTGGAATCCTGCCAGGCCCTGAGCAGTTATCTGGAACACGGTTTCCATTCTCTTCAGTTATTAGCTATGGAAGAAGAAGGTGAAATATTACTAGGTTGACTATACAGTGCCTCTTTCATTATTGGAAGACTTGGGGTAAAGACACAACAGTCTGCCGATGAGTAAGCCAGGGCAACAGGCATAAACCAGAGCCACTCCAGACGTGTGTGCATGTGAGTCTGTGTGTGTGTGCACGTGTGAGACTGTGTGTCTGTCTTTGTATGTGTGTCTCAATGTGAGTGCGTGCGTGTGCCCGCACGTGTGTGTGACTCTGTGTGTATGTCTCTCTGTGTGTGAGAGACTTTGTGCATGCGTGTGCGCACGTGTGTTTGTGCGTGTGTGACTGTGTGTGTATCTCTGTGTGAGAGAGAGACTATGCTTGTGCGTGCATGTGTGTGTGTGTGTGTGTGTGTGTGTGTGTGTGTGTGTGTTTAAAGAACAGCACCTGGAAGTCAGGAACTGAGGTTCCAGTCCCCAGTCCTGCCAGAACAAAACAAGTCAACTTTCTCATTTCTCGGCCGCTCCGTTTCCCCTGCTGTGAAAAGGGAAACGAAATGAGATGGTTCCAAAGGTCCCTTACAGGATTCAGATCCTAACATAGCCAAGCTAGAGAGATGAACAAGACCCGGTCTTCACCCTCAGGGTCTTCAGCAGGTAAGACACAGGAAAGCAGGACTGAGTCCACCAGTGCTGCCCAGGCACAGGAAGCCCCACTGGGCTCAGTTATATCAATCACCTTATCAGAACATCTGGCAGCATGGCCCTTCTCGGCATCAGACAGTAACTTCATTCACTTGTAGTGGAAAGTGCAGTTTCGGAAGATCCCTTTGCTCTGGCTGTTATGACTCATCGTATCTGTAGCCCAGGAGTTCGATAGTAGGTGGGCGGTTGTATAGAAAGGAGGCAACGTAATCGATGACGCTGGCACTCACACTAGAACCGGGAGGCAGAGAGCATCTCCCGACGATCTGGACCAGCAAACGACCATAAAAAGCAATCTGGTTACACTCAGTTGTGATGACTGCTTATTTTAAGGCTGTAGTTGCCAAAATCAGTCATGGAACTAACTAAAAGGAAGAGATTGTATTCATGAACCCAGTGTGTTCATGCAGTTGACGCTGGGCCCCTAAACGCTGTCAGTCTGGGCTGAAATCCCAGCACTCTGCAGAGTGACCCTGTAGGACTGGTCAGTCTGTAGGGAGAAGGGAGACGAGGTTCCTCTGAGGCTCTCTTTCCATCTCTCTGCCCTCTCTTATCATTTAAACTCCCCGTTTCACTCTTTCCTGTGATAGTGAGAGGTATATGTTGTTTATAATCCCACCATTTGCGCACACACGCCCATCAACACGTACACAGCCCGTGCACCCGGCTGATTGTTTCTGTGGTGGTCAGTGAAATGGACAGGGAGGATGCTCTTGTGACAGCTCTTTGTCACAAGGCGCATGTGGGATTCTCAAGTCACGCTGAGAATTTCTACACATCAAAACACTGTCTTGTTTTCCCTAGCCGCTACCACATGGGAACAGCCGGGAACTTAGAGAACAGGCATCTCTTTGGGGAGAACAGGAGGGTGGCGTGCATTCTAATGTGGCCCACTGGAGTTTCATTGTGTGGTCTCTTCCTTGTGGGGAACCTTACTCCTTCCATCTCTGCCAACCCAGGTGCCCACAGACTGCTTTGGAATCATGCACAACTTCACCGAGATAATTAAGATGAGACTTATGACAAGTTTTAGTGAGTCCTGCTATATCTCAGCCCTCCTAAGCACTTAAATATTCATATCATCTAATCTTCACAGCCTGCCTAAAAGCAAGTGATATTATCCTAAATTTGTAGATGAGG